AAATACAGTAGAGCATCGATTATCCGACTCAATTGGGGACGGGGGTTGGTCGGATAATTGAAAAGTCGGATAACCGAAAAGTATGAAAAAATCCATTATTAGTGTAGTATATTATTATATCCCATGTAATTAGTATATCGCTATTAACCTACTTTGTGTTGAATTTTCCACCATGTTAAGCCTATCAAATTTTTTTAAAAATAATAATCATTGCTATTGTATCGTTAAAAATTTGAAAATTAAGCCTCGTTTAAATACTGGCTCCCTTTCATGGTCGATCCAGTGTTGCCAGCTAAAACACGTAAAAATAATATTTAAGTAGCCAAGACATAGCCAAATCACTAGCAGACATTTGAATTTGCCGACTAGAATGCGGTCGGTTAACCAAGGTGACGGTTAATTGATGCTCTACTGTATTAAAACATTGTTTAAAGAAAATTGATCATAATTAGTCATGTAGTTTATGAGGAACATGTGATTAATAACATTGGTCTTTTATATAGTAAACAAGATTACATTTATTAGCAGATACATTTACAATCAATAAAATAAAAAGATGCTGGATAACAAGAGGTTTTAATTGCTTACAATTTTATGGAAAAAATGTAAATGAAGTAGTATCACAAATATCATAAAGTTGTACAAGGGCAATACAGTTGGCCAAGATTCACTTGCAAGATGAAAGCGACTAAAGAAAATCATAAACTTTTATTAAAGGTGATGGTCAGAAAAAGGAATGCTGTTCCAAACTGATATTTCTAAGATTATTTTAAATGATTTTTTTGGCCATGTATTAAATTTATATTCTTATTTTTTATGTAAATCAAATTTAATTGTATCTAATGTTATTGATTGTTAAATGTAAATTAAGTGAAATACCATGTTTGTTTATTCTAGGCATTCCGTGTTGTTCTTCATAGATTTCGTAGATGTGTTCCGTTTCCTGGTAGTAATCTTGATGGATAAGGTAAGCTATACATTAGTTTATAGTTTACTTATTCATATTTTTCATTTACTGTTGCTTATTAATTCATAACTTACCTTTTTTTCTCCCTCTTTCAGGAGCAGAGCAGCAGGAGAAAGAAGGATTAGAAGCAGTTGCAATAACTTTCCAAAATTTTTAATTTGCTCATCTACTATTGGTGACAAAATTGATACATTGGTATTTGATGTTCTTGATAGATGTAATTTTGTTAATTGAAAAGTTCTGTTTTTTGGGATTTAAGATAAAAAGTAAAATTTGTCTCTACCAATTTGTATTTTATCAGAATAGAATTAACCAATAAACTTTTGACTTTGGATGTAAGGTATAGACTCACTCATTTCTACCAAAACGTTTTTCCTTGGGCAGGAATCTCAATGCACATTTGTCTAATTCTTTTTAATATTGATTGCTTGCCAGAGCAGGATTTCTTATATGATGTAAATATATTTTGCCTCAACACTGCAATTTGATGCCAATTAAAAATAATAGTCATTGTCACCATTCATAATTCAAGTGAAGATTACTCCTGATAGTTATTGGTGAGATTGAGGCCAAAGTTTTAAACACGAAAACGTGTACATCAGATGTTCAGCTCCATTTTCCTGTAAGCCTAGAAGATAGTCAGTGGAATCACGCTCGACATTCCAAACACCATCGTCAAACTTCTAGGCTTACAGGAAAGCAGAGCTGAACATCTGATGTACATGTTTTCACGGCCTCAACCTCGCTACTATATTTGATTGTCTTATAAGACATTGCAGTGTGGAAGACATAACCTAAGTTTGGAACATTAAATCTAAAAACTTATTTGGCCCAATTGTATTAAATTTTTTTGAAAACTAAGTTTTCTTTTCAAATTTAGCCATTTAGATGCAATTTTATGAACTTTGCACTTTGTTTTTATCAGCTTCTTGTAATGAAACATCCATGTTCTCCATAGATAAATCATTCTCTTGGTAGATAGCGGTCTGTGGAAACGAAACAGCAGCAGAATGAAATAAAATTATACTATGGCTTACAAATGAAGTCTTCTTGATCTGTTAACTATATTTTATTACTTGCCTACTTCTCTGTCTTGCACATATGCTGCATTGCATCTTATAAGTGACAGTGGCTGTGTGATTAAAAAATATATATTTATAGTGGTATCAGATTAACTTCAGTTTTATATTACATTGTTAGGGTGTAGCAGCTTTTTTTGTAATGCCTAAGGTGACAAGGCTTATCCTGCCTATACCATATTTTGTACAAATTCAATTATCTCTCAAATATTTGATATAAATCTCTTGTTGTTGCAAATTGACATATGCTGCAATTATTTTGTAGTGCAGCATGTTAAAAGTATGAACTACATAAGTTCATACAGTACATATTTTGTTCCCATTCCCAATAAACAAATAATTGCACTTATTCGTGCTATCTCTTGCTTGTTCACCAAATTCCTCTAAACACCTCCATTTCTGTACACCTCTTGTGCTCATAATCTTCCATTCCAAATGCTTGTTGACTGTTCCAGTCAGGATTACCTCGGTTGCCTTCAATTTTGCTCTTTTCAAATACCATATACTCGTTTTGAGTAATTCCTCTTCCATTTGTTCTATCAACACAGCCAAATCACCATAAAGCAGATTTGCTCACCATATTCCTTGCTCATTCCATCCTCATCACGCCACACACTTGCCTCAAATATCTCGCATGCAGCAATCTGCCACACTTGCGTCTCATTACCATACATCAGCATAGGAACCGCAACCAGACCATTTTGACAAAATCAGTGTTTCCTCTTTAACATCAAACAATAAAAAAATAATTATGTATATAATTGTCTTTAAATTTATTAAATAATTAATTTATTTCACAGATGAGCAACTTTTGCAACACACTTCCATGTTTTTAAAATTGCTAAGTGGAAATTTGACCTTCCACATCTTTAATTATAATTAAACACATGCAATCTCTTCAACAAAAAACCGTAACAGTAATATAATTAATATACATTTATTTCCTTTAGGAATCAAATATATTATAAGCACTAAGTGCAGAAACAATTCATAATATATATATGTATTTATATATTATTTTTGCTTCCTTTTTTTTAGTTTTATTTTTGATTTACAGCATATTACCGACACTCACACTAACTGTTAATAATTAATTGAGCAAAGTCAACACCGCATATTTACATAGACGTGTTTATTAAACAATGACTTTTTAACAATTTATCGCCCATATTGAAACCCAACATCAATTAATAATAATAATGCTAATTGAGTTAAATGGTCTCGAGCCAACCTCTTCCTTTTAATTACAATTAAACTTTCCAATGAAATTAAAATTAATGCGCGAAACTTAACAGTCTAACAGCGTTTTGTATCTAAGATACACTCTCTTGAACATCGCTCATCTTTTCGATAAATTATCTTATTTACAAACAATTTTCCATACAAAATAATTTTGATGTAGATCAATTTTTACCTGATCCGAGTACAGACTTGCAGGGCCTGGATTTACTCATTTTTTAAATAAGACCTTTGCTTGTAGGCCCATGCTTAACCGTAAACAGTTGTCCTTGCACTTTCAATATTTGGTTGGGGGAAGGGCCTCTGTGTTATAGCTTAGGGTCACGTGTCTGTAAACTGCCATCGGCATCAGGTAAAAATGTACAATTTTAATCGAATCATACGGACAAACTATCCAAAATCCAACAAAATTGCAAGTGGACCAAAAATAAGCACAAAATTTAATGTAATACAAATTGACATGCCGAGTGGACTTTGGATTGTTTGCCGCATCTTTTTATTAAATATATTACATTTATAATTTTTTTTCTATATACAAACAATTTGATATATTATTTGCCAACAAATAACATTAAATAATACATTTTTCTCTTCCTGTTTTTTTTTTTTTTTTTTGAAACAAAGGATGCGATTGGGTGCTACACATTTGAATATTTTAATTTAAATTTTTAAAATATTATTATTATTTACGTGCTATTGTGTCATACTTTTATATTATACAAAAATATTGTTATTAAGCTAATATTATTTTTTGGTTTGCTAAAAGTATATAAAATTGATTTTTAATTTTATTGGAAAGCTGGAAACGTTTATAACAGTTTCGGTTCAATTATGTTGTGTGAACTTGCTACTTAAGTACATGCAAAGTGTATCAAGAAGTGTGACTACATGAGGCACACTTAACACCAAGTGTCTCTGATATGAAAAATCTCGTGTTGCTTGGTTTCACACAATTGTGGGAATGCATCCTTTGTTATATGTGCAACAAGAGACTATGTCACACATGACAAAACTAACACGAACTTGTCTTGTGTAACACTTGACTGTCCAGACTTGAAGAGGATAGAACAGTGGATTTTTTTTAAACCCTATTGTGGTCTATATGACACATCTATACCAGGGATGCCATACACACTAGACATACAGCAGTGTCAATGTGAGTTATACAGGAGGTATCATGTGTTGGTGTATATTTAGTGTGTATCAGTGTCAGATGTGCCATACACTCGGGTGGTGGCATGTAAGTCAGTTTAAAAACTGCAGGGTTAGGACTATAGAAATGTTTTTAAGCAGTTCAAACATCATCCAGCCATTGTTTAAATTATCATAAATAGTTAATTGAGTAGGTTTAAGAGCCCACTACTCAAACAGCCCAAAATTTGGATCTAGGAATCTCTCAAAAAAATGCATCTTGGGGTATCATGGGCCAAACTCCGTAATGAATTGTATACCACACAACTGCACTGATGCGGTCAAGCGATTTTGTACACATAAAAATCATGTGATATGTTTATCACACCCGATTATCCGGGAAGAGCGACTTAATTGAGCCGAAACTGCTGGGGGTTCTAAGATTATTTTTTCTGTATGAAAATGCTTGAAATTTCAAAAAACGTGCAAAATCTTAATACTGATAGATTTTTCTGTCTAAAATTCGATGTAATACTGTTAATTACTGGAAATATACACTAGAAATGTAAATTAAATACATAAAAATACAGTATTTTTACCGGTATGACACAGTAGCAGTAAATACCTTTTTAACATACAAATATTCAATTTTGTTTCTCTTTCCTTCTGCATGTTTAAAAAACTGGGAGCCCATAAGTGAAAGTATCCACCAGCGTTCCCTTAAAAATTAAATGCCGCTAATGTAAAAAATTAGGCATTTTTATGTATTTAAAAATCAATACATGTAAATTTTTTTTACTGCTTTTTATCAAAGGATATTTAGGATTTGAGCCTCTAAAACCTGTTTCCAAAAAATACAGTAATACCTCAGTGCCTCTACAGTTCTGAGTATTATGCTTACAACTGAATAAATGCTCGTACAGTTGGACGATTTCACAAAATCTCAAATAATGTGAAAGTTCAATGAAGATTTTGCGATACAGGTATTATGGATATACCCAAAAAACATAAGTAACCCAGTTCGATCCTGTATTCCTGTGTGTGAAATCTCAATACGATACAACACATTACACGAAATGTAAAATTGCATGCAATTTCACCTGGAATAAGCAAAAAAACTACCATAACAAATCACTAAAATCTTGCAGTTGAGGAGTGAAATTAATTTGAAACCCGCTAGTGCGGGGATGGTAGATTTTTTGTTTTTTTTTGTTTTTTACTCTAGTAAAAAAATAATTTGCAAAATTAGAAACGGCAGAAAACTCTACGGAAAAATTTATGTTAATATATATATCACAAGGAGATTGTATATTGCATAAATTCTTCACACGTGTTAAGCAGAATAGATTATATTTTTTCTATATACAATCACACTATTATATTGAAAGGCATCTATCTACAAGTGGATTTATCCATATACACTTCTCTTTAAAGATATGTTACTTAACATAAAAACGAAAAGATCGACATAATCCTTAAGAAATGATATCACAACAGCCGTAATCAAAGAAAAGTTACGCTTAAAAATGCACCTTTATAAGCCAACGTTACGTGTTAACGTTCCTATATACAGAGCCAGATTTCACATTAAGCTTTTAGGGCCTCGTGGCTTTTTATATGGTGGAGGGGGAAGGCATCTGTAACTGCCTATGTAACTCTGTTATAAATCACAATGGGGGGATTAAGCACTCTAGTGTTATGGGAATATTAAACAATAAACGTTATATAAAAATGTTAATACTGTTTTCTGGATATAACTCTGTTACCCACAGCTTTTGCTGTAGATAATATATATAACTGATAGGTTCAACAGCACAGTTTATATATTATATATATTATTATATATAGGAAATTTTTTTTGTTTCTAACGTAATTACATGTATAA